TATATATATATATATATATATATATATATATATATATATATATATATAAATAAATAAATATATATATATACACACACACACACACACACACATATATGTGTATATATATATGTGTATATATATATACACATGACTTAAATATTGGTATCAAATGTAAAATATATATTTAAAAAATTCTATATATATATATATATATATATTGTTTACATCTTTTTATATACACACACGCACAGTTATTTAGAACAGAACATGATCACTATTTAGTTAAAATGTGTAGATAAATAACTTAAGTATCAGTCTTTATTCATGCAGTACTTAATTGATCATATAATGTATCAATATTAACTAAAACAAAATGTTAGAAAAACTTATGGGGTAGGGATTCATCAGTTAATTACATCCAAAATAAAAGTTAGTTTTGACAATTTATACATAAACACACATCAAAAGAAACAAGAATATACAAAACAATTTAGTCACATATATATTTAAACTTAAATATAATTTGTATCATATACACATATATGTTATTTCTTCAACAATAAATAAAAACATTTTCTCAAATATACAGTAGAAATCAGAATTTTTAAACCCCCTTAGAATTATTATTTCTTTTTAAATAGTTCCTTGATTTTTAACAGAGCAAGGACATTTGCACAGTATGTCTTATAATATTTTTTTTTTCTTCTGGAAAAAGTCTTATTGGTTTTATTTCAGCTAGAAGCAGTTTTTAATTTTTTTTTAAAAACATTTTAAGGTCAAAATTATTAGCCCCTTTAAGCTAAATGTTTTCGATAGTCTACAAAACAAACCATCAATATACAATGACTTGCCTAATAACCTAACCTGCCTAGTTCACCTAATTAACCTAGTTAAGCCTTTAAATGTTGCTTTAAGCTGTATAGAAGTGTCATGAAAAATATCTAGTAAAATATTATTTACTGTCATCATGACCAAGATAAAATAAATCAGTTATTAGAAATGAGTCATTAAAACTATTATGTTTAGAAATGTGTTGAAAAAAATCTGCTCTCCGTTAAACAGAAATTGGGGAAACAATAAACAGGAAGGCTAATTAATCAGGGGGATTAATAATTCTGACTTCGACAGTATGCATAGAAATACACAGTACACACACTTAAATTAAGTTAATCTTTATTTTATTTATTTATTTATTTATTTTTTAAATTTATGTTAACATGTAACAAAAGTTACATATGTTGGATGAGATTATTAGCAAGTTTTGTCCAGTGAATAGATATGTACAATTAAAACAAATGTATATGTTTTTTTTTCTGTAAAGTACTCGTGTTCAGTATTTTATATTTGTATATCTATGCACTTTAATGAGTCATTAACATTATACAACATTTATTATTAATATTCTTGATATTAAAATATAATTTTAGCTTATTCTAATTATTTAACGATTTTCTGATAAACATTGATGTAGAAACTTGTATATAAAAATCTAAACCCCTTTTTTTTTCCAGTGACCTCCTCATGTAAGTCTCTGAGATGGCTCAATTTAATTCAACTAAAAAGTAATTTTACGAAATCTGCTGAATGAATTAAAATGCATTACAATATGAACTGTTTCAAGGTCTTAATTTTCTGGTGACAGAAGAGATGTTCGTCTTCAACTTCTCAAGGATAAGCAGAGCACTGGCCAATTACTGGAATTTCCTTGGCTGTTTGAAACAGATATTAAGCACAGTGATTTGTTTAACATGTTAGTTGAGTGAAGTGTACAAGATAAACATAACGAAGGATGAAAGAAAAGCTATAATTAGCTGTGAATACTGTATGGACTTTGAAGTGCTGAATGAAAGAAGTAATAAAATCGAATCCCAAGAACTTATTAAAGCACAAATCAATAAAATCAAGTAGAATTATATTATATTATATTATATTATATTATATTATATTATATTATATTATATTATATTATATTATGTTATGTTATATTATATTTTAATATATTATTTTTATATTTTTTTCATTTTCTTGTAGGCTTAGTCCCTTTATTAATCCGGGGTCGCCCAGCACCCAGCAGACACAAGACGTCAACATGACATCAGATTGACGTTGTACCCCAACAAAGTGGGAAAGATGCATTTTGTTTGGAAATGAAAATCGTGTTGATGTCAGAACGCAGGCCGACGACATCAATGTACAACGCCCAAACTAAAAGCAACCAAATATCAACATCTAATACTGTTACAGCTTGACGTTGTGTGGACGTTAACAGTATGGCGTCTATCAGATGTTGGATTTTAGTTGCCAAACCTGAAGAATAAATGTCAGTATTTGACGTCAATATGACGCTGGTTTAAGATGTTGACACGACGCAGGATTTTGTTTACTTTCTAACAACCTAAAATCAACCAAATATCAACGTCATTCAACATCGTTATTGAACATCGATATAACATTGTCCTAGGATGATGCCTAGACATTGAAATTTGGTCACCTGATGTCATTATTATTAATATTATTATATACAAACTGATGTGAGTGTGTTTTTTTTCTACCACAATAAGGTGAATGAGAGAAGAAAGCAAATGAGAATTAAAGCCCTTTCTATTGTTTAGCATGTGCAACACTTGCGTACATCCCTGTGTTTATGTTATTTGACTTATTTATAAACTAATTTTGGAAATACAAGTTTTTCGTTTGTTTAGTTTCTCACCTCAAAACAAGGGTGAATAAAAATTGTGTTGATGTCAGAACGCAGGCCGACGACATCAATGTATAACGCCCAAACTAAAAGCAACCAAATATCAACATCTAATACTGTTACAGCTTGACGTTGTGTTGACGTTAACAGTATGGCGTCTATCAGATGTTGGATTTTAGTTGCCAAACCTGAAGAATAAATGTCAGTATTTAACGGCAATATGACGTTGGTTTAAGATGTTGACTCGACGCAGGATTTTGTTTACTTTCTAACAACCTAAAATCAACCAAATATCAACGTCATTCAACATCGTTATTGGACATCAATATAACATTAGCCCCTTTCACACAGTGATACCGGTAAATATCCGCAAAATTTCCGGAACGACTTTACCGGTATATTCAAAAAAGCGCTGTTCACACAGGCGAGGACGTTACAGAAATTTTCCGGAAAAGAGCATTCACACATCCATTCCAAAATACCGGTAAATTCTGACATCATTCACCACAAATGAGCTTTAAACGGCTGCGCTTGTATTTGTAAACATTTGACTATAAATTACAAACTCTGTGGATGATCAATATTGTGAACAACTTTCGCAGGATCACTTTCGCATGTCGAGATTCATAATATGTGCGTGTGCTGGTGCTCACAGGCTGTTTTCACAGGCACACGCAAAGCTTGAAGGTAAACAAACAACGGCTTATCATAAGCATCTCATCGATGATTATTTACACAGTTGGCATTAAGAAGAACATATAAACGTGATCTGACTAACTTCTAGCAGATAAATGTGTCTGGAAAAATATTCAAAAGCTTTTATTCTCATGAACCGCGCGGACGTAAACGCGTCTGAATGTTGTGATTGGCTAAAGCAGACGTCTTACGTCAGCACGTTCTAGACGTGCACGCGCTTATTACAGGAATCTTCCTTCTGCATTCACAGTCTACTTTTTACTCACACTTTGAGTAATATTTACAACAGATACTTTTACTCTATATGCACTACATTTTTAGGCTAGTAATGGCAAAATATATTTTGAAGAATGCTGAAATCCTGAAGCCCTTGACTTCCACTTCCAGAAAACAAATACATTGAACATACGTTAAACATTGAAGTTATTAGTTGCAGGTTTTCAGATTTCTCAGCTGATTCGAATGTTATCACTCAATTGTATGGGCGTTATCAGTAGTTATCAGTTGATATAAATGGGCCAGTAAGGGCCTCCTGAGCCTACTAGTAACCTGTTATTTACATTTACATTTAGTCATTTAGCAGACGCTTTTATCCAAAGCACTTTACTTTTACTGAAGTATGATTTTTCAGTACTCTTTCCACCACTGCACATCGCATGTAGTTAGGACATGGTGTAATAGTCCAATATTGAACACGACAAACCTAGAGTTGCACTGTTATGCAGTGTTGTGAAAATGAGAAGCTCTTGGCAACTGAACATAGATTTAGCTTCTGCAAAATATCTTTTCAGAGCCTAATATTAAGTGAGTTATAGATACAATGATCTTTTTTTACAGCAATTTCACCATAGTCAGACTAATCTGAATGGACTGATGGACATGTTGTACTTTTAGCATGCTTTCATTTCACATGTCATTCTGCAGTATGTTCCTCTCCTTGAATAACACAAGACCAATAATGTGCTTCATATTCAACACTCTGATGAAAAATCTCACAGTGATGAACCTCCATTCAATCGAGCACTTTATGAAAATGTAAATGTTATTAATCTATTTTTATTTATAACCACACATATTTCCAGTCCCTTTTTTGAACTGCTCTCAATTTCACATTTTCCTTCCAACGCCTTACCTTCAAGGCCTGGCGATTCTTTGCTAATTCATGAAATCGATGCAGGACGAGATAAATAATTCAGCGTTCAGCCACACGCTGAGTGATCGCGGTGGGTTTGTTTGCATGAAAAGGAGGTGCGCAATAGTGTTTGTCTGACGCTCCTGGAATCACACACACACCATCTATACTATCAGAATACACACTGACATGGCAAGATTTGCTTTTAAGACCCCTGCAGGTCACACCAAAACCCCTGCGGTGATGAAAACGTCGATGGATGTAAAGAAAACAATTGAAAAACAACAAGAGCAATAGGAGAGTCCAGAACCGTCAGATGTCCAGCAGATGTATTGGTGGCTCGGTTGTAACCTACATTTAAAGAACCTGCAACTGTCGGAGGTAGAAACAAATGGCCAGATATCTTGGGCCAAAATAAATGAAGAGGCATCCTCTGAAGACCGAGAACGACAGCCCACTCCATCCTAACGCCGCTAGAATAAAGCCACTAACCTCTAGATTCAGTCTCCTTGACCTGTTCACGAATCTCCGGCTGAGCGGCAAGAGTTTCTCCCTCCGCTGATCAATGGGATCCCCTCTCCAGCCTGCAAAACACATCAAAACGGTGCCGATGAGCTACAAAAACATACTATAGACTTGTATGTATATATATATATATATATATATATATATATATATATATATATATATATATATATATATATATATATATATATAAAGAGAGAGAGAGAGAGAGAGAGAGAGAGAGAGAGAGAGAGCATCTCTAACATTTATGACTGCTAAAGTTCCCAATTCAAAATGTATTTATTTATTTTTTGGCTGTTAATATTAATATGATCTGATAATTCATATTTCAAAATGTTCAGCCAAGATGTAAAATAAGTATTTGATGGACCTAAAGTGTGTATGTGAAGTTTCAGCTCAAAATTATAATCAACTGTCCCTTTTAGGCTTACTTGTGCCATTTTGGTGACTGTCACTTTATATTCAAATGAGATTGCTCTCTTTTCAAAAGAGGGCGGAGATACAAATGCCTGTGTGTCAGCATAGTGGCATATTCAGAAACAAGACTAGTGTTCTATGCTAATGAGGGAGAGATTGTCACTAATGGGTGGGGCTTCCCCCCTCTTATGATATATACAAAGGGAGAATGTCAAGCAAGTGCTTCTACAGACTGTTTTTATGAAGTGTGATCGTAAAAATAAAATTAATACAATATCATGAGAAGCTAGTTATATTCACAAAACTGTGTTTAAGCCCCTTATAAAGTGATTTTTGCATAATAGGTCCCCTTTAAAGGGATAGTTCACACAAAAAATGACAATTTGCTCACTATTTACTCACCCTCAAATGTTTCCAAACCTAGTTTAGTTTCTTCATTCTGTTCAACACTAGAAAATATATTTTGAAGAAAGCTGAAATCCTAATGCCATTGACTTCCACCACCAGAAAACAAATACACTGAACATACATTGAACATTGACATTAATAGTTGCAGGTTTTCAGATTTCTCAGCTGATTTCAATGTGATAACTCAATTGAATGGGTGTTATCAGTGGTTATCAGTAGATAGAAATGGGCCAGTAAGGGCCTTCTGCGCCTACTAGTAAGCTGTTATCATCCATCCACATGGTTAACACATATGGCTGGAAGTTAATGAGAATTATTTATATTATTTATTAAATGTCCCATTAATTGTATTGTATTATCGTCTACCACTACCCCAACCCTAAACCCAACCATCACAGTAATTTAAAAACAGATCTGGACCTGGAGTCTTCTCTATTAGTATAGCTGTTTAACCATGTCTATGTATGATAACAGACTTCTGAGCCTACCAGTATGCGCAGAAGGCCCCTACTGGCCCATATCCATCAGCTGATAACAACTGATAACGCCCATTCAATTGAGTGATAACCTTTAAAGCGGGCGGATTTCTTCAAAATATCTTCTCTTGTGTCCAACAGAAAAAAAAGAAACTCAAATAGGCTGTCGTAAAGAGTAAGTAACTGATTACAAAATGTCCTGTTTTGTGTAACTATCCACTTCATTCTGCCAACATGGATCAGCAATTTTGATGATGTCCATAAGCTTATGATCGCATTAGTCAGAAACCCTCTGCATTATACAGAGCAGATGATTCATCATTTTTGTTTAGATATCGAAGTAAAATAAACCTAATTCCTACATTTAATCCAGAGTTTTATTTTGAAAAAAGTCCTGCTGTTATCAGCGCGCAATGAATATTGGGACATTCAAGGCCGCGAAGGATCCACCGGTTGTGTCCTTCATTACCTGGTAAACAAATGACACGTTTTGAGGCTGCGTTTGATGAATTGAACTGAATTTGAAGGAGTCTTCGATTATTTATTTATTTTTTAAATGAGACAGCCTTCGTCACGCCACAATGACGCAGCTCCCTTTAAATGCATCCTTTAGAGGATGTAGCCTCTGAAATGAGACACAGCTAATATGACCTGCCATTTAACTTCCAGTTCCTGTGGAACCCATATTAAGCCACTTGTGGTAAACATACTCTTTCATCTCTCTAATCACTCCATATCTCTATAAAAATGCAGTGCATTTCTGATTGTGCCTCACACAGGTGAGTGGGTTTGACAAACCATCTGCAGAAACACTTTTCAATCTACATGCATCAAACACTTTTTTATTTTTTAAACTCCATTTTACAAGGACTCAATAAGGAAAACAATGTTTACTTGTGAATATACCAGACAATCCTGTTACACGACTTGCTTTTTTTTTAAACTCAGCTGCTCCTTTTGCACAAAATATTGCACAATATTTATCTGTCTTAAGAATAACTTGTATAGTCTGTTTAAGCTTATACGTATAGCTAAGTATTCATAGTATAAATTTATATTACTCAGGAGTCACCACAGTGAAATGAACCACCAACTTATCCAGCATATGTTATTACGCAGCGTATGCTCATCCAGCTGCAACTTGGAAATATATACCCAGTATACCCAGTATATAACCCTTACACTCTCATTCACACACAAACACACACACACACACACACAGCGGACAATTTAGCTTGCCCAATTCACCCATTGCGTATGTCTTTGAACTTTGGAGGAAACTGGAGCAGCGAAGGAAACCCATGTAAACACGTGAGAACATGCAAACTCCACACAGAAACACCAACTGACCCAGCCAAGGCTCGAACCAGTGATCTTCTTGATGTGGCGACAGCATTACCCACTATGCCACCACACCGTCCTTGTTTATATTTATGATCTTGTTTATTCATGTAGCATTCATGGTGCTGCTAGCCACAAAATTCATTTCACTTTATGTCCACACGTAGTGGAATGACAATAAATCTCAACTTGACTTGAAATAAAGCCGGATGCTCCAATCCACTTTAATATGAATGAAACTTTTAATGGCACAAAAGGTTTTAATGAGTTTGAGGGCATTTTTATTGTATTGTATTGTATTGTGTTGTATTGTATTGTATTGTATTTTATTGAATTGTATTGTATTGTATTGTATTGTATTGTATTGTATCATACCATACCGCAACTTGTCGTGTTGGTTTGTTGGTTGATTAATTGATTGAAGGAAATAACTTTACCTTTTTTTGTTTCAATCAATCAATCAATCAATCAATCAATCAATCAATCAATCAATCAATCAATCAATCAATCAATCAACCAATCAATCAATCAATCAATCCAAGAAAGCAGGGGCAATATAAGCATATTATAACACACTAAATAAACAGGTAAAATGTTAATGTTTAGTATCATGTTGATTGGTTGCTTGATTAATTGATTGAAACAATAATTTTACACATTCCTTGCATCAATCAATCAATCAATCAACCAACCAACCAACCAACCAACCAACCAACCAATCAATCAATTATTAATACTATTCAAGAAAGCTGGAGCAATTTTAACATATTATCACCAAACATACGGGTAAACTGTTTAAATGTTGATTTCATCAAAGTTATTTGTGGAACGACAACAAAAAAGTGTGTTTCTGCTGTTATTTATATTAGCATTATTATTTTTGTTTCAGTTATGATCTGATGCACTTGATTATTTGTGACAAGCTCAATTTGCATCTCATTATAGTCATGGCACAGACATCTGGCAGAATTAATCATTGGGAACACAGCAACTCCTTTGGCCAATTAATACTATTATTGCTATTATTACTGTTTCTGTTTTTGCTCATTTTAAACAGCTACAGTATGTCTTCTCATGCTTAATGTAAATAAAATACAACAACATCATAATGCACCAGTCCAGTGGATAACTGCATGTATTATGATTTTTGGGTTTGTGGCTTCCTAGCAATAAGCAATGAGATTTATGAGATTAGAATTGACAGCTTGTTTGAGATTTTTCAATTTCACTTCAACCTTTGGAATATAAGGTCCTTGGAATTTCAAGTATACAAACTTTAGTCAAGTTTTATTTCAAAATCAATCTAAGGGCCAAATCAACTCTGAAAGTCATATGGTTAGAAATAAAAAATGAGCTAAGAAAAAAAAATCTAAAAGCAAATCTAAGCTTAAGGTTGATCTATTTCTTTAAGGTGTGATTATGACTACCAATCATGGCATATTATAAACAATTTCGCTTAATAGTCCAAATATAGAGATTATAGGCTTAAAATATAGACCTATCCAATGACGCCTTTCAGTGTGGGGCATAGTCTTGTGGAAGAAATTAAGGCTACACAATTTGATTCCTCATGACTTTTAAATATGAATTTAACAACTAGAGACATTTACAACCAAAATATGTAAAAATAAAAAAATAAAATAAAAAACAAAAGATAAAACCTTTGCTCTGCTGCGCTTCTGTCCTCGCGCCCCCAGATTTTGCCACTCTTTTTATACTGGAAGTAGATGCGAGTGCTTTAGGTGCTGGTGCGTTACTTATCCAGGAGGACCGCGATGGCATTGAGCACCCATTCTGTTGTTTTTCCAGGAAATTCAACAGACACCAAATTAATTACTCCACTATTGAAAATGAAGCACTGGCATTACTATTGGCATTACAGTTTACCCTGGTTCCAGTTTCTTTCCAATCATTGTTTATACCGATCACAATCCGTTTAAACAGAAGTTTTTCTCTCCCGTACGTATTATCAAAATCAGTACATATTTTGTTACAGTACAGAATTACAACCTGGAAATCTGTCACAAGAAAGGCACAGAAAATATAGTGGCCAATGCTCTTTCCAGGTGTGCGTAGTTGGTCGTAAATAAACCGCATGGTTTGTTTTGCGAGTTTTTTTAAATTTTTTTATTTCACAAATAAAAATAAAAAAATAAAAAAATATAAAATATATGTTTGTTCTAATGGGTGGGAGTGTTATGTATTTGTGCTCTGTTTATGTTTTCTCTCTCTCTCTCTCTCTCTCTCTCTCTCTCTCTCTCTCTCTCTCTCTCTTTCGTTCTGGTCTTCCGTATCTGCTTTCATTATTCTCAGGTTCCGTTCATTGGTCAATTCCGCTGTCAATCATTTCCTCCCCGGTTACGTCACTCGTATGTCACATCCAATAAGCAAAGACCACCTGTCATAAAAGCGCATGC